AAATATTAGAATTTATTTTTTATTTGATGCAAGGTCACTATCATATCTTGCTCCAAATGATGTGAATAAAAAATGTTATTATAACTTACTTACCTAGGGCAATTGTATTATATATAGGACATATAACTCATATGGAATATCCACACCTGCTAAGTGAATTTTGTTGTTACGAGAGTAAAATGTTAGAGGCTTGTATTCAAACTTTTTGGCTCTATAAAACACACAAGAATTTAGAGTGTATTGTTTATATATTGTAAATAACATACTGGTTCATGAAGAATTTTCTTTAATAACAATATTATTACAACGATAATACTATTTAGTATTAAATCAATTTTATTATATAAGATTATATGACCCTTCTTAATAAATTATATATATATATATATATATATATATATATATATATATATATATATATATATATATATATATATATATATATAAGATTAATGAGTATCTTGTAATAGGAGGGGATTTTCTCCCGTTGACGCCTATTGTGGTATAATCTCCACGCATACCTCATAAATGTAGGAGAGAGAGTGTGAGTATGGTGGGGATTGTGCCTATTTTTGAGATGGTGAAGATTGTACCGACATATGTGACAAGGAGAAAATCTGCCTCCTATGAAAGGATACCCAGTATAATCTCTCTCTCTCTATCTCATCCCGTGCTTCTCTCTCCTGCTCTCTTATATATTATAATATATATATATATATATATATATATATATATGATATATATATATATATTATTATATATATATATATATATATTATATTAGTATATATATATATATATATAGTATATATATTGGGGGGGGTTTACATCGATGCTTGTAGCTAGTAGTTGGGCTCCACAAAATTGGTTAACTTTACGTTATAGTTACTAATTTGATATATGGACTAAATCTCAAGTAAAAAATAGGAATTGAGATTGTATAATCCTGCAGGTAAATAAATAAATATTATTAGAGCTTCTCTTTATATTAAATTTAAAAGTAATAATTTAAATTATTAAGCGCCAAATATTAGTTCATGTGAGAAAGTAAAGTAATCTATGGTCTATATACCTATTTAGTCAATCAATCAAACATATTAAAATTATGATGACCACAGTCAAAATTATATGGTGGGTTCACATTAAATATAATTTATAAAAAATAGTACATTAAAGTTAAAATCCTTTTAACCACTATATAGATTGTCTAAAAATATTTACATATATAAACTATACTGCTTAGGAAGAGTGATGTGCGCTTACCTATAGCCTAATACATCTTACCTATAGCCTAATACATCTTTAAAATGACTTATTCTTCATTATCATTATTAATTGATGAATCTATGCATTACACTGAAAACACAATGAAAATCTAGAAAACTACAAAAGAAACACCCTCAAAGTTTTAAAAGTTGTAAAAACACCCAAAATTTTTATAATTTACAAATATACAAAACTATTAAGCATTACATTGAAATCAAGGAATTACAAAAAGTCATTGAATTTTTTAAACTTTGGAGGGGGTAATTTGCAGTGTACTAAACTTTAAGGGTTTTTTTTAAATTTCAAATTTAATAGATTTTTAATTAGTTATGTTCGTTTCAAAATGGTTATGGCTAATATTGACCATGAAAAGTATCTTCTAAACCTATACTTTTAAAGGAAGTATAATATTTTTTACAAATTTTTAATTTTATAGGGGTTGTTAGTAAATTTGTATATTCATTTTAGTGTCCATAGGTTAGAAATTCTCATGGTGTTTTTTGAAAATTATGAATTTTAGTGGTTTTTTTATAATTTTTTAAACTTATAGGTCATTTTTACGTATTGTAAATTATTTATAGACTATTTATAATTCATTTGTTTTCAATTTACTAATGAGTTTGCAATTCTCATGGTGTTTTTTTCGTAAAATTTAAAATTTGAGTTTTTGTTTGTAATTTTTAAATTTTAAGGATGTTTTCTATAAATTATAACTTATGTATGTGATATTTGCAATTCCTATATTTTCAATGTACTCTTAAGTTGAAAATTTAGAGTGTCTATTTGAAATTCCTATATTTACAATTTTGAGGGTTTTAGTTTGTAATTTATAAAAAATTTAGAGTGTATATTGTAAATTTCATAAATTTTTAGGGTTTGTTAATGTTATTTGTAGGTTTTTAGTGTGTTTATAGGTTTAAAATTTTAAGGTATTTTTTTACAATTAGTGGTGTTTTTGCAATGTTCAAAACTTATAAGATATTTTCTCCAAATTTAAAAAACTTTTAATTTCTAGCTAGGATATGTTTTTCAGATTTCTCACTAAATTGAAAGAAGTAAAATTTATAATTTTTAAGGTGTTTTAATAAAATTTTAAATTTGTAGGGGTGTTTTTATAATTTTTAAAACTTAAAGGATATTTTTTACAAAGTCTAAAAATTTTTATGTGCTTGCTAGCATATGTTTTTTTAGATTTCTCTGCAAACTGAAATAAGTAAAGTATTTGAATTATATTAAATTAACATATCTACTTTATCCAATAACATGTTAAATATCAGTATGAATAGGATAAATTATTTGATTACCAATTCAAGAAAGATAGAATAATTAAAATAGATTAGGATAACAATGTAATATTCAAAAAAATTAAGGGTAATATTGACCATAAAAAGATTTTTTTTAAAAGTTAAGGGTAATATTGACCATGAAAATATTTTTCCGAACTCGTACTTTTAAAGGGAGTATGATATAGTATCGAGGAAAATTTGTGTCAATGCCCAAAAGTAAAATCCTTATGTGCTGCAGCCCCTTCACTTTTTTCCCATGTGATTCAGCTCAAAGAAAGGGTACATCATGTGCTGCAGCCCTTTTTACATGTAATTATCATGCCAACTAAGCACAACGAGAGAAAAAAAACATAAAAGTCCAAAATACCCTCATTTTCTCCTCCCTCTTCGTTCTCTCTAGATCTATCATGTTAGGTTCAGTTTGATTCATGTTAAGTCTAATTTAATTCCTTTTAAGTCTAATTTGCATCATGTTAAGTCTAATTCAACTTGTTTTAGGTCTAAAAATAAGTTGAATTAGAGTTAACGTGAATCATGTTATGTCTAATTTAACATGTTTTAAGTCTAATTTTATGTTAAGTCCAATTTGATTGATATGAAGTCCAGTGTGATTCATGATCATGTTATGTCTAATTCAACTTATTTTAAGTCTAAAAGTAAGTTAAATTAGACTTAACATGAATCATGCTAAGTCTATTTCAACTTATTTTAAGTCTAATTTCGTGTTAAGTCCAATTTTACTTCATGTTAAGACCAATTTGATTCTTGTTAAATCTAATTTAATTCCTTTTAAGTCTAATTTCATGCTAAGTCTAACTGGATTCGTGTTAAGTCTCATTTCAGTTCATGTTAAGTCTAAATTCAGTTCTTGTTAAGTCTAATAATAGTTCATGTTAAGTCCAACTTGATTCGCGTTAAGTCTAATTTTAGTTCATGTTAAGTCTAATAACAGTTCATGTTAAGTCTAATTTTATGTTAAGTCCAACTTGATTTGTGTTAAGTCTAAGTTCAGTTCATGTTAAGTCTAATAACAATCCATGTTAGGTCTAATTTCATGTTAAGCCCAACTTGATTCGTGTTACATCTAATTTCAGTTCATGTTAAGTCTAAATTAAGTTCATGTTAAGTCTAATATCAGTTCATGTTAAGTCTAATTTCATGTTAAGTCTAACTTGATTCGTGTTAAGTCTAAGTCAGTTCATGTTAAGTCTAATAACAGTTCATGTTGGGTCTAATTTCATGTTAAGTCCAACTTGATTCGTGTTAAGTCTAATTTTAGTCTAAATGCAGTTCATATTAAGTCTAATATCAGTTCATGTTAAGTCTAATTTCATGTTAAGTCTAACTTGATTCGTGTTAAGTCTAGTTTCAGTTCATGTTAAGTCTAATAACAGTTCATGTTAGGTCTAATTTCATGTTAAGTCCAACTTGATTCGTGTTAAGTCTAAATTTAGTTCATGTTAGGTCTAATAACAGTTCATGTTAGGTCTAATTTCAATCATGTTAAAATTTTTTAAGTCTAATTTAAATCATGTTAAGTCTAATGTAACTTTTTTTAAGTATAATTTCATGTTAAGTCCAATTAAATTAGACTTAAAACAAGTTGAATTAGACATAACATTATTTAAATTAGACTTAAAAAGAATTAAATTAGACTTAATATGAATTAAATTAGACTTAACATGAAATTAGATTTAAAACAAATTGAATTAGACATAACATTATTTAAATTAGACTTAAAAGGAATTAAATTGGACTTAACATGAATCGAATTAGACTTAACATGAAATAGATTTTCATGTTAAGTCTAATTCAACTTGATTTTAGACTTAACATGAAAGAATAGAGGAGATAATAACATTTTGGAGTTTTTTTTTACTTTTTATTTTCTCTATGTTTAGTTGGTAGGTAATAATTGCTAAAAGAGAACTAGAGAACATATATCTAAAATTTAAGGATTGAACCACATGAAAAAAGTCAAAAAAGTTGCAGCACATAAAATTTGCTTCTGGTCCTTGACACAAATTTTCCTAGCTAGTATCAAAGCGGCACAAACTTTCTGGTACTGTTATCTTTTTTCCTTACTTAGATGCTCTCGTGCTCCTAAAAAACCGATATGTTTCAAACTTAATTTCAAAAACCGACCCAGTTGGGTTGAAACTGGGTCGGTTTTTTTTTAAAAAAGTTCCCAAACTTCACGGGAGTTGAAGTCCCAGGAAGTTTTGTTACGTAAAAAACTTCACGGGACTTTAACTCTCGTGAAGTTTGAGAACTTTTTTTTAAAAAACCGACCCAGTTTCACCCAACCGGATCGGTTTTTGAAATTAAGTTTGAAACGAGTCTTTTTTTAAGATTAAGATTCAAAACAGGTTGGTTTTGAAATTTTGTCCTAACATTTTTTATTGACTCCCGTCCGCTGACCCAGACAAAACCACTCTAGTACAGTGGCAACTAATGAGTCGCTTCTTTGCGAACGGCTCAATCTCTTCACTCCTCGTTGCCTTTCCCTCGCTTTCATTATCGCCGTGAATTCGCTATCTCTAGGGTTTCTACTCTCTCTCTCTCTAGAAACCCTAGGTTCCTCTCCGAGATGCTCATCGAAGGAGCGGAGGAACGCGAGAATTTTTGTGGCGACGCCGATCCCATTTGGGAAGCGATGAAGGCTGAGGCCAAGTCTGAGGTAAAAGATTCTGCGGTTTTTGTTAATTCTGTTTGAAACTAGGGTTCGGTTCTAGGTTGCTCTCTAGTTGAATCTTCTTGATTTTTGATTTTCTATAAGATTATGAATCTTAATGATGTGTATTTAGAAAACAGCGAGTGCAAAGAAGCGAGTTTAATGATAGTACAGGAAACCGGAGGTTACTCCCACTAAGGACAAAAAGAATCGATTTTTATAGTTGACCCATAAGAGAAATAGTTTTTTTTCCTTTTTTGCTAAGGTTTTGCACGGCCATGTTTGAGTCACAGTAGAGGTGAGAATTCAGCTTGTAAGCTAAACATGTAAACATGGTAAATTCTTCACGAGTCATTATTGAATTATCAGTAACACATACTATTTTGATAGGTAAGGACCCGAATATGGTGATTATGATTTATTGAGCTATGATCTGGTTTAATTTGCGAGTTATGATTCTAATAAAATTCATCCGCATGCTGTGACCTTTTGTGCACTATCTACGCTTTTAAATGAATGTATCGGACCATTTATCATGAGAGGGGAATTTATATGTTCCATCTGGATTTTTGCTAGTTGATATGTTTGGGCTTTGTAATCTTCATAGCTGCAACCTTCTTTCAGGTTGGAAATAATGTTTTTGCCAACTGTATATAGCACATCTATAACTGTGATTTTGCAGTAAGAAAAGAGAGGGAAAAAAAGGGAAAAAGAAAAGGGAAAAAAAGGGAAAAAAGAAAAAAAAAGATCAGGAATCTCAAAAGCTGCGTTTAGTTCGTCTTTAGCCTCATCATTTGAAGTTTTGATAGCTCCAATAATGGCTATGATAGGTAGGAAATTTTTTCTGGTAAACGAATTGGTATGTGCGACACATTTGGGCGCAGCAAGAATGCCATCCAAGTCAGGACATTAACACATTTGTAAATTTCTACTTACCTCAAACATTATGTATGATGTGTTACATGGAGTATGTTGTGGTCCTTTTGAGGAAACTAATTACTTTGTCGATCATTTTACTAAAATTAGGTTCTTTATATGAATAGTACAAAATAAACATTATTTGAATCAACTATACATATGCTTAGATGAATACATATCTAACCATGTCCATGTTTGGATTTTGGCTAATGCCATGCCCGTTGTTAAATGATTCTTGTTTCTCCATATCTGTTGACCACTTGACCATCGAAGAACTTTCAGACACACCTCAATCTGAAATTTTACAATTGAGTGCCCAACCGCTGTGAATTTAACTGCAGATTTAAACTGGGTCCAAGCGTTTAAGGTTATACTGTTATAGTAATATGAGTGGTTTTTGAACTTAACAGTTGGTTTTCCCATACATCAGTAATTATTCTTACTGTCACTTACCATACAATTGTCTCAGGCTGAGAACGAACCTATCTTAAGCAGTTTCCTGTATGCAAGTATTTTATCTCATGATTGTTTGGAGCGAGCGCTGAGTTTTGTACTTGCTAATAGGCTCCAGGATCCTACATTGCTGGCAACACAATTAATGGATATTTTTGACAATGTGATAATGAATGATAAAGGTATTAAGCGCTCAGTTCGCCTAGACCTTCAGGTGACCCTCTTTTCATCTAAAAGAAGCCTTCTCTTTCATTTATGTTCAACTGTCTGTTTATCCAATTATTTCTGGCACTGCTGATGTTTTATTGATGGCATAGAACTACTTCCTCCATACAGGCATTCAAGAATAGGGATCCTGCATGCGCATCTTATAGCTGGGCACTTCTTTACCTTAAGGCATGTTTTTTACTGATTTATCTTAACATTGATGGATTAAATGCTATGTCAGTCACAAGTTTTATGTGGTTATCAGATACTTGGGCAAGGTTGTATAGAAATGGTTTTTTAGTGTATACTTTTCTGAAGGGTTGCATGTTTTAACTAGCTGTTTGCATGTTTACCTACGTGACCATACATTAGTTTGTTATTTTTCTGATACACTCCTTCATCTGCCAACAACTAATCAAAAAATAATTAACGAGAAAGTTAAATGAACTAAATCATACTTCACTATCTATGATTTATTAAACAGTGTTTCTCTTAAATCCGTCTTTCATCATATGAGAAAGTATATGCTCATGTATTTGATTAAACTTATTGGGTATGTACATAAGGCGAGACTTTGTTGGTATGACTCACTGATGGATAAACAAAGGTATTTTGACATGAAAATTGCAAAACTTGATCTGTTAAACTTCTAGTACAATTTCCCCATTAGTTGATGTCTGTCAAAAAGCTATATCTGCAAGATAATTCAAAAGCACAACGTCATGTAGGTACATATGCAAAAGACATTATGAAATGCACAATTGCTAAGAAACATAAGGTTAAAGCGTATCATATTTTGTTAGAAATTAGTGGTTTTGGTGCCTAGAAGTTATATTAGTTCCTAACATGTTTTCCCTGTCGATTAATTACTCAGCACGATTAGTTTGCGAGGGTTGTTATTTCCTTCTCTTGTAGGGTTATCATTCTTTGCAATCATATCGTGTAGCTCACGCATTGTGGAACCGGGGACGCAGAGTTTTAGCTCTGGCATTACAAAGTCGAATCAGTGAGGTGACTTTTACACAGCCAACTACTTGATGTACTTCACAAAGCAGGATATTTATCTCTACTCATTTAACTATTTAATGTTACTTTCTGATTTATTATAGGTTTTCTCTGTGGATATACACCCTGGTATTTCCCCTCCTTCCTTGTAATCTAGAATTCAGTGAAAAAGATTTCTGAGCTGACATGCAAGTTATATTTCCTTTTTGAGTGCAAATATTATTATGGATTCTTAATCAAGTAGCTATGCTAGCTATTATACTTATTTGTCAGGAGTGATAAATGTGTTATCAGTGTTACGAGGTAGGTTTTTTGGACTTTAAATTTTAGCTTTTACCATAAGATGCTGACAGTGTAACTCTAACTTTTCAATTTATTTAACATTTAATGTTCCTCTTACATCAGAGTTGTAACTAAAGTGCTTGCATTAATTAGCTTATTAGTTTGACTTTAAGTTAAAATTGAGAGTGACTGTTAAGCTATGTTAAACTTTATCGGGGCAGGGGGTTGTTTGTGGAGTGTTGGCAGGTTTTGTTTAGGGGTTTGTTTGGTTGGTGTGGTGGCTGCAGGAGATTGAAGAAACAAAAGGGCTGATGTGGTGGCTGCAGGAAAACAGAGAAGGAAAAGAGATATTTTGCAGTGGATTTCTGTTTGTTTTTTTATTTGATCAATGTCTAAGACGTGGTGAGGAAGGGGATTGAGATTTTTGATTTGTGGATAACAAATTAAAGAGATAATTTGATGTTCAATCCTGGACAAATCACATACCAGATAAGATAGCAAATCACATGCGAAAGTAGCAAGTCATGTACTAAAAATAGATTTCTCCAAATAAGTTTGTTTTCATAAACTTTCCTTCTGACCCCTTTGAAATGAAGTTCAACATACTTATAGAAGTAAACTAAGACAGGATAAAGTTCTAAGAAGATATAATTAAATAACAATTCCTAACAAAATAGCAAGTTCGTTCCTAACTAATAACAAATCTAATCGTAACTAATTTAATTAAAATTAAAATCTGAACAAAATTTTTTAATGTTGCATCACCCTTCTTGTTGGAGTTGTATCCCTTAAATTGCTGCATTATATTGAGAAACAGCTCGTTGATTTTGATTATCATAATTGTTGTGGTGAATTTTAATTATAGAAAAGTGAACACTTCTTTTGAAAGTTGAAGTAAGTATTTATGCTGACGGAGTACCTATAATGATTTTAAACGAGATTACTAGTTTTATATTTGTTTAAATAGTAAACTAAGAAAGAACCTCAAATATTGACAAGTTAGATAAGATTTTATTTCTTTGTTTATCTTGTTACATAACTTATGATCCCAATTTTTGATGTATTGTTAATTATTCCATATTGTTGCCTCCAGAAGGGTAACTTGTAATTTGTGAGTCATTTCTTTTTCTACTAGAAAATTTGAATTTTTCTTGCGATTTTTTTCAATTTTGAACACTCGAAATACAAACATGCATCCTTTTTCTCTATACAAAATGGATCTTGTTGTCTTCAATTTATCTAAGAGAACAGGACATGTGCTACATGTATGCATATGGGGAAAATGAGTCATGCACTGATGGAAATAAAAATGCACAAGTGCATGCATACTGAATATGCTTAGCAAGTTGATCACCAAGTAAAGAAAAGAGATATCTCCTTATGCACTATTACTATCTTTTTAAGGGTCTCAATCGATGATGTCTTAGGCCTATCTCTTGTCAAATCTTTTGAAAAGATCTTAAAAGAAAAAGGATTGGGCTAGGAGTCAAATGATATTATATTATTATAGATAGGAGTTGGAAGATATAATTTCTTGGTTACTAATGCAGTTATTATTTGTGTGATAAGATTCTGTTCCATAAATTCATTCATATCTATAAGTACCTAGATACGTAAATACATACATGTGCTGCTTTGCATACATATATACTATACCTATCTGTACACCCACATACTTCTTTCCCTCCTTTGTTTCATATATAAATTCGCTGCAGCTTTGGCTTTAAAACTTTATTATACTTTCTTAACTTTCTTCTTTGAAACTTTTCACGTCTTCTATAAGATGCCCTATCGTCTTTAGCCGTCTTTTCAACTAACTTATTTTATGCTTTAACCTGTAATTTCTTATCATTGCAATGTAGTTGCATCCACATAAATGTGTCACAGAAGGGATGCTCTGTTATTTGATTTTTAAATTTTATTTCATGGATGCCTCATTAAGTTTTAATGCCAAATAATCTATTATCCAAGGCAACCCTCTTCCTTGATCTTGACTTGGGACTGGAAGAGAAGAGTAAGAGATTAAGGTAACACATGCTTGCAGGTCAAGGGTATTTATAAATTTTCTTTCTTTTTTATCGTGAAAATACATTGTAATTATATATTGGTTTTGTTGCCGACAGTTACTTATGATTGTACCATAATTGACTCCTGCCTCTTGTTTATTCTCTTATTGGATCTCTCTTTCTATCATACATATTTGCCTAGGAAGAGTGTGAAGTTTTTCTATACTTCTGTTATCGATCAATACAGCTGCAAAAATTGGTGAGGGGATATTATTGGACCATGCAACAGGTTTAGTTATTGGTGAAACTGCCATTGTAGGGAACAGGGTTTCACTAATGCAGGCAAGTATGAACTCTCTATTCTTGCATGACCTAATAGCACTATAGGGTCTTTGTGTCGTACACATTTTTGACTAGATCATGGCTATAGAGATGCTTCTCGTGCATAATATTTTGACAGTGTACAAACCTCTCTCTCATTCACGCTCCCCACAAAATCCCAAGAACACACCTACCCACCCCAAGGGAAAAAAGGGAGAGAAAACAAGAAAAAAGACACCATCACCATCCACCCTTTTCTTCTGCCTCCCATCCTCTCCCTTGGCATACACATGTCTGCATGTGCATTTCACTTGAAGTATTCAGGTTACTGCATATTTAAATGTTACAATCTTAAAGTGTATGGCTCAAGCTTTGTTCATAATCTGAGGTGGTCCGTGGCTTCCTGATGCTGAATTTCGTCTTATAAAGCTCAATTATCTGAATAGTATCATGGATATTAATATTTCAATCAGATTACTAATCTTCTCAGTATGTAGAAATTGATAGTATGTACACTATCATATGATAACATTTGGGCGTGTTATGTAGACTGTAAGGAGTTGTGCTGATATATCTCCCTCCGTGCGCATGCATATCCATACTCGCATGTTCTGTGTGTGCTCTGTGTGTGCGTGGGTGCGTGTGTATGTGTGCGTGCATTATAATTTACTTTTTATCTGGGTTGAGCCATAAGGAGCAGTATTGATTCGAGCAGTTTCATTTCTTTTATGTAATCTGGGGCTAGTTTTTGTCAACTATGTTATTTGTATATTTTCTCATAGTGATATAAGCATATATGCTAGCTACCTCTCGAGAGCATTATATGATGTTTGTTGACCTGAAAAATTCTCTCTTTTCGGAATTGCTGAAGAACTGGTTTTTGGTATGTTGGAATACATGTACACAGGGTGTTACATTAGGAGGAAGTGGCAAGCAAGTCGGAGACCGGCATCCGAAAATTGGCCAGGGTGCTCTTATTGGAGCTGGTGCAATCATTCTTGGTAACATAACTGTAGGAGAAGGTGCCATGATCGCTGCTGGTTCGCTTGTACTGAAACATGTTCCTCCTCACAGGTTAGCTACATCCCATTTCAATTGCTTGATGAAATCACATGCTAGCATGAGCGATTCATCAACTGTTTTCTTGCCATGAGCCCATGTATAGGAAGTTGCCCTTTGTTCTTTACTGTCACTATGCAATAATGTTTTTCCGTAGCTTTACATATGTGCTAAACTGATAGTGCTGAATTTTTTTTTCTCCATTTACTCTTGTTGAAAAAAAAGCATGTCTGCTGGTAATCCTGCCCAAGTTGTCAGATGGCTGGAAGAGAAAGACCCATCCTTAACAATGAAACATGGTTAGTGTATTCAAGAATCATTTGATTTTCCATTTTCAATTTGAAAATGCAATTTCTATGTCCTTATGAGCTTATATTTTTATATTTACTACATCTAATGTAACTTATTCTATCAAATTGCAGATGCAACAAAGTATTGTTTCGAACAGTTAACTGTTAGGTCTTCCAAGGTGAACTCTAACGGTGAGTCTAAACTTCACATGAGATAATTGCTCAAGAAAATTTTAGCAACACCTCGTAATAGTTTCAAAAGCACATTTATCATGAGAATATAGGATACAGTTTCTCAACAATCCTGTAAAAGTCGGGATGTAGAAAAATTGTGTTGCATATTTCTTTTTTTAATGGTTCTGTGGGGATAATTGGGCACATAACATAGAATGCTGAAAGTTAGTCTCGCAAGTCGATTATTATGGTCGAGGGTGAGGCAAGCAAGAAACCAGTAGATTTTTTATACAGGCATCTTATTGTTGCAGAAAATTGTTACCTTCCTTACTAATCATCTTGTTCTTCGAACTAAAACCTTCCAAGTTCACTGCTAAACCTCAATAAATGTGCTCATGACCATAAAAGGCTTCTAGTAATCTATACTACATATAAAAGAGGATTGCCTTGGCAAAACTTTCAATTTCAATTTTTACCCTTTTAGGTTTGATAATTCTCAAATATGCCACTGGATGTAATTAATTATTCGCTAATTACATATAACCTCTTATTAATTATGCATTTCCTCACTTTTTTTAAAATCTTTGGTAACTCTATTTTATTATTTAAGTATGTTATTTCATAGAAAATTTGAAATTTGTCCCTAATTTATCTTCATATAATATTTAGAATTCTAGAAAAATTAAAAATAAGAAAATTTCATTATGCTTATGCCTTGTGCCTTGGGTTTCACCTCTTATGGAGGACTACCTGACAGTACCTGTTACCTTCCATTTTATTAGCCTTTACAAGTATGATAATAGTATGAAAATAATTTGTATTTATTATAATTGTAATAGTATTAATAGTATAATGATCTTAATAGTGTTTTTTAAATTAATAAAATAAGTATACAAAATTATTAGTAGTAACCAATTAAATAATTATAATAATTATTTATGAATTATAATAAAATAATTAAAATAATAGTATAAATAGAATAATATATTACTAAATACTATTAAGAATTATACTATAATTCAATGAGCAATAAAATAAATAGAATAAATTTTGAATCGCATAAATGGTGTAAATATTTTTATAAGATCGCATAAATTATGAATTACACTATTTATTTAGTATTATATTATTAAATAAATTAAATAAATAATTTAGTTTTAGAGTATTTTCTCAAAGATTATTACATGATACTGAATAATCTATACTTGGTAATGATTGAAAAAATAACATTTTTATGAAAAATTATTTAATATTAATAATAGTACTATTAATTGTTAATGATAGTATGATAAAAATTTATAAAATTATTTATAGTACTAAACTATTTAATAGCATAATTAAAAAAATAGATAAATATTTTTATAGTATATAGATAGTATAATTATCTTAATAGTATTACTTGAACTAAAAATTATAATATTAA